TCTAATGAATGCCCACCAGCGCCTCCACTTCCACTCTTGTGCAGTTTGCCTACTGTTCATCCTGAGATGGGAGTGCAAATGCCACTTCCATAGTGAAGCCTTCCCTGATTTCATCCCCACCTCTATCTCAGGTCAGTTCCCTATCATATGCATACATGTTGGCTTGTATCTCCCTTTCACAGCACTTGGCAAAGTGATCCACGTGATTATTCGATTCATATGACCACCTTTGACTTACAGGGCTTCTCACTGAATGAAGTAAATCTGTCTTTTTCTCTGTTGCATCCCTAGCGCCTGATTCAGTACCTTGAACCAAGTAGGCCCTCACTACATATGTGCTGGTGAATGAATAAAGGAACGGGTCACCAGATACGGAAACGTGTAGCATGTTGGGAAAGGGCTAACCAGGCTTCTTGAATAGCTGGGTAGATGTTGGTGACTTTCATGATCAACCATAGTTTGATTCTCTGCAAAATATTCTCCCATAGTGATTTGCAGACGGTTGTCTCTTTTCTGCTGAACTTGAATGACTTATGCCAAGTCCTCCAGCATGCTGAGGGTTCCTGCTCACCCCAGGCTCTGAGCTTCCTGTCAAAATGATGTGTGCTTAGCCATTTGGGGGGGACCGCAGGCCTGCAGATGAGGAGGGGAGCCTCAGGCTGCCCCCTCTGTCAGTTCTGGCCTTCCCTCCCGTAGCTTTGCCTTCAAAGTAATCTGAGTGACCCAGGGAAGTGCCCCACCCACCGTGAACACAATCCAGTGACTGAGTAGCAGCCTTTGAACCCTCTCTGAGGGTTAAGTTCTTCTTTCCTTCCCGAGATCCATGGCCCATCTCAGGCTGCTCCTCTCACTGTTCAGAAGAGATGACGAAAAATGTGCAAGGACTCTAAAAACCAGAAAGTGTCACATGTCAGGCACAGATGCAAGTGACCACGTACAGTCAAGAATGTCACTCGTCAGAAATTGAGCGCATCCCCAATCCAGATGCTCAGAGTAGCTTGTTAAGCGCGACTGGCACCAAGACCCTCCTCATGAAGCTCCTGGCATGAGCCCCGCTTGGTTACTTATGTTTGTGGCTTCTCCTTTAAGAGAGTGTCAGCCCATTTCCAGCCTGGTCCTAAAGACTTGCTAGAGGCATGACCTTCTCAGACCATCTGGTTGTGCTTTTGTCAGAGGGAAACAGTGTCCTCAGAGGTGACAGAGCAGTGTAGACCCTTGGGCAAGCCCACTGAGAAAGCAGCCTGCCCTGGACTGAATTATTTCCCTGTTTAGTGGTTCCCCCTCATGTGGGGGTTTAGTTACCCACAGTCAACTGAGGCGCAGAAGCAGATGATCCTCCCGCCATATCGTCAGAAGCCTAACTGTGTCGCCACGCCCACAGTATTGCCCTCATCACAAAGGCATTTTATCACCTCCTATCATCACAAGAAGAGGAGGGGGGCCTAGACGACAATAAGGTATTTAGAGAGAGCGAGAGACACCACAGTCACAGAACTTTTATCATAGTGTTGCTCTATTTTACTATTAGTTATTGTTGCCAATCTCCTACTGCACCTAATCTATAAATTAAGCTTTATCAAAGGTATGTGTGGATAGGAAAAAGAACATAGTGTCTATAGAGTTCACTACTATTCATAGTTTCAGGTATCCACTGGGGGGCTTATCCCTGAGGATAAGGGGGGACTTCTGTTCTGTGTTAAAGTTTCCTTCAAAATTACAGGTTCGGTTGTTCATATTCTGTCTGAAAATTGCCCATCCTGGCCTTTGATGAAAACCAGACAGAAGTCTTGGTGCCGTCAGAACTACACATTTATATTAACACAGTTTAGGAAACTTGATCTGAATTAGGTTTAATCTTGTCGTCTCATCAATATCAACTCAGGGAACATGTATGTGGCCCAGTCTTTTGACTCTAAAATGTCTATAGTTTGCATGGGGTAGAGGTTGAACAAATATTTGTTCAATGAATGAATGATTGGAGTTCAACACCCTGGGTTGTCAAGTGGAAAGAGAACAGGTTTTGGCGTCAGCCAGATTAGGGTATGAGCCCTAGTTCCGCTACGTGCCAGCTGTGTTTTCTTCGGGCCTCTGCGGGCTCTCCGCGCGGGGAGAGGGGGCAGCCTAGGGAAAGTGGCGCGCTTACTTCCTATTGCTGTTGCAACAAGTTACCACGAAGCTACTGGCTAAAAACAATAAAACCCCGTGCAGATTTCTTATATCACAGTTCTGATGCTCAGAAGTCCAAAATGGGTTTCTCCAGGATAAAATCTAAGTGTTAGCAGGGCTGTTCCTTCTGGAAGCTCCAGGGGAGAATCCATTTCCTTGTCTCTTCCAGTGCCCAGAGGCTGCCCACATGCCTTGCTCATGGTCCCCACCTCCTCTGTGAAAGCCAGCAGTGCTACATTCTTAAATCTTTCTGACTCTTTGGCCTCCCCCTCTTCCATCTTTAAGGACCCCTCTGATTACCCTGGGCCCACCTGGATAATCCGGGATAATCGCTCCGTCTCAAGGTCCTTGTGCCATGTAAGGTAACACACTCACGGCTGCTAGGGATTAGGACAGGGCCCTCTGGAAGGCTGTTGTCCTGCCCGCCCCAGCAACCATGCAGCTAGGTGCTGCACTTAACCAGGTTTGCCCAGCAGTGACAGGAATTCTCTCTCTGTTCCTCTCCAGGGTAGCACAGGTAGTGCACAAAAAAGTATTCCCCAGGGAGGTTCCGTCACTGTGAAAGTACTGGCTGGTCTTACTGGGGGGAATCTAGTTCTGCGGAGGGGGTGACTCACTGGTCTTTCCACAGTGGGGCAGTGGAATGCTCTGGGCTCTCCGTAGGGTTCCTTGGTTTTTGTGAGACAGTGTCACCTCTGCCCGGCTTAGTTGAGTGTTTACATACGTGGCTGTGAACTTCGCCAGAAGTCTTTCCCCGTCGGTAACATTGAACTCAATGCTGCACACTGCCTATGCTATTTATGGAGACCCACACACCTGAAAGATGGGCAGCCCAACCACACCTTTCAACCACCCATAGAGAAAGCCAGACCACATCCTTCTGGCCCCAGGATATTTGCTTTTACTAAATGTTGCTTTATTTTGGTGCTATCAGACTTCCTTAGGGGCATGCAGTAAAAAAAAGCATCGAAGAAATAGTTGCATTTATTGTAACAGTTTTGTTGAGGGTGTTCATTGCATGTCAGCATACATTTCTTATGGGAAACCACAGAGAGAAACACTTCCGCAGTGTCAAAACCCAGTACGAGTTAGTGTCCCCTAGTGCCTGGTTTGTTTCCATCAAATGAACACTAGGTTAGGGCTGATCCTCTTGCTTTCCTTGCACCCACTACTAGGGAGCTAGAGTCTTCAGCGAAGCTTTAGGACATCATAGCCCATGCCACCCTCATTGTCTCTTTTCCCAGTTCTTCATCTGTTTCAAATTTTAGTTCTTACTGTTGTAGTATCTGTAAGCCCAGATAAGGCATGGTAAAAATGTTATTTCCCAAGATTTTTTGTTCTCTTTTGTGAGACACATGCCCTTGGTACATTCCTCTTTGTTCCAGGAAATAACTGATGAAAAAATAAAAATATGAAAGGAAACATTATCAGTGCCAATGTTTAAACACTGAGTCTCAGAAAACTGAGTTCAACACCACTGTCAAAACTGGAGCTGATTTTGAAAATATGAAAACAAGTCTCTAATAGTTGTGTGCTGAGCACACTCAGATCATAAATACCAGCATTCCAAATGGCTTGCTTGCTGTTTGTAGATTCACTGGCACTGAAATCTATTTCTTTGCAGAGGGATATTTAGCTTTTATTTTATCTTTACTCATGGTCAAAAGACAATAGCGACTTTGCTAACATGATTGAAGATATTCCTCTCAAAGAATTCCTAAAGCTTACATGTCTTTGCCTTCATGTTTCTGTGTGTGAGCTTGTCTCCTTGGAAAGCCAAGACAGCAATGTGCTTTATACCAAGTGGTGGTTTGATAGTTATAGAAATTCATGATTAAAAAAATCAATGTTAGCAGAACATCCAGTGAAAACACCTTCAAGATAGACCCAGCTAGAAGAATTCATCTCTGACTTCATCAAACCACAGAATCACCAACACCAAGAAGCTCTCAAACCCTACTATACGGTGTTATCAGGACATCCTCTTTTTAATCTTTGTGCCCACAGAGTCCAGAACATAGTATGTACTCAATAAATACTCGATGAATTAATGAATAACCCCTCTCACTCTCAGAAAGACTAGGATTCTTCTCCAATGCCAGTAGACCATGATGAGAACTCAGTGCTTGCCACTGGCAGGCATACAACATGTGCTGAATGACTGGCACTGACGTACATCCAAACCATGGAAGAAATTTCTGCCATCCCTGAACTGCACAGTGGTGATTTTTATTTCCATTATTTTTCCCCTAGTCAAAGACACACCTGACAGATGACATTTGCGTGTGCAAGCACTCTCGTGGGTGTACTTGGGTTTATGTGTAATTCCCAGCGTGCTCGTACAGTCTCCAGTCACCTCTCTCCCACTCAAAAAAATATAACAGAACACATGAATAATGATGTCATTAATAAGGGAACTAACTCAAGTCCATGGCAATTTATTGAAAAAGTAGATCATCTGCCATTTCGGTATTTCGGGTAATATTTGTAGTACATGAGTGATGAGGCATCTCACAATGACTGGCGTGACAGTTCATCAGAGCACCAGGACTTAGAACACTTCTCTATAGAAACCACCTGTGACACCCTCTGAACCCCCACATGCCATCTTGGAGTCCTTCCCAAACTCCGGAGAAACCAGCGCTAGGCTCACCCTGCCTCCAATGCGATCATCTATAGGAGCCCCGCCATCCACGTGGCCTTCACCTAAACAGTACAGCTCATCTCTACTGATGGACATGGCCACCCAGGAATCTCACTGTCAGCTGTTACTCCACTCTCACTGCGACGACTTCCAGGAAGAGGACTCACACGTACAAGCACCACCAACTTACCACACCGCCGCCAGCCGAGTGCACGAGCACGCACATCCCCTCCCGGAGGTTGGCGACTTCGAAGAGCATCATGTAGGCTGTGACGAAGTTCATGGGGAATGCAGCAGCCTCAGAGAAGCTCATGTCATCGGGGATCTTGTAGACAAATTCCACTGGTGTGCAGACCACCTCTGCCCAGGCATTGTAATTGACAAATGCCATCACACGGTCCCCAATCTGAGCATGGAAAGCACAAGTTCAGTGGAGGTTTCTTAATCTTTTTAGAGGAATTTCTCAAATACTCTTAAGAATCTGATGAAACGTATAGATTCCTTCTCAGAAAAGAAAAAAAACATTGAAACCTTCAAATATGCACACCTTTACCTGCCTTGAACTGCAAGGCATGGGTGGGTATGCTGCAGCCCATCTAGGAAAACTTCTCAGGGGCCATGGAGGCCAGGTGCTCTACCCCACTTCTTGAGCACAAACAGACAACATGCATGGGCAAGGCCAGGAGTCACCTACTCTCCTTTGTCCTCTGCCACCCTGGGAGATTCCCTGCCAGACTCGCTCACTGTATTATTTACATCAAAGGTTAGCACTGGATTACTAATTGCAGTGGATGTGACACATGGTGCATCGGAAGAGCCATGTAAATCTAAGGGCAGGAGACCGAACCAGAGAAACCAGGTTAAGGCAAAATAGGAGCATGCCACCAGGTGTGAGGAACAACAGCGAACATTTTAACATGTTTTGGATACATATTACATGGTAGGCATTGTCTAAGGGTGTCACATGTTCAGACTCATGTAATCCTTACAAAACCCCTCTGAAGGCATGGCTGAATACTTTTTATCAGTATTTTATATAGCCAGACACCATGCAAAAAAAAAGAGAAAAAACAGTCTTCCCTTTAAAGTGGCTATGTGGTCTGCTAAGTATTTTCCTAACAGATCACTATTAAAGGGAAATAAAAACACAAGAACTAATACCAGCAGCTTGTATGAGCTGCCATGTGCCAGTTAAATTGAACCGTTCTGCTATTTGAAGGTAATTGCATGTGCTACGACTTTCAAATGCAATATTTAAATTGCTGTGGTCATAGTGAGTTCTCCATAAATCAATGGCTTTCCTGCATGTGTGTTTTAGTTTATGTATATTTTTACAGTTGACTCTCCTGCTCTGTTTTCCTTTCAGCATTTCTCTCTACCCCTACTCAACAAACAACAGAAGCCTCCTATGAGATGAGTCCCACAAGAGTCGCATTTTACAGATGGATGAGTATAGATTTTAAACAGACAGTTAAAAGGAGACAAAGAGAGATTACAGCACATGCTCCAAGTCATGTAGCTAAAGAGTAGCTGGGCCAGGATTTGAATCTAGGCAGGCTGATTCCAAATAAAAATAATTAATTCATTACACCTGAGATCAGTGCTGCCAAGAAGACAGAGTTATATAAGGATGTACAAGAGGGGATCCTACCCAGTCTGGGAATATTAGTTTAACTCTTCACATCTCAGTTTCTTCAACTCTAAAATGGGTATAATATTAGGACAGGGTCTTTATGAAGATTAAATAACATAATATGCATTCAGTGCATGTGGCACCGTGCATGCAAAATGAGGAGAGAACAAGCAGTGTTACTCTTAAAATGAACGGTTTGAAAAAAAAAAAAAAACGAACAGTTTGGTTTCTGATCTCATGGAGTTCACAATTTACTGATCAAAAGCTAAATATAGACCCACTATATTTCATGAAGCAGAAGGAATAGCTGTTTAATGAGAGAACTCATGGGAAGGAGAGGCTGTGCTCCTGGCACAGTGAGTGTCCCAATTCCTGGAAAGGTTAAAGACCAAAAGATGACTGTCAGGAATATCATCTTAAAAGATATTTAAGACTGGTGGATAACTGAGGTCTGACCCTGACATCCTCTGCTGCACAGAATCATGAAAACCCCAAGATACGTAACAGTACAGAGGAGCTGACTGCCTCCAGAGCTGGCGCACCAGGTCTCTCGTTCAGCTTTGTCCCATCTCTAACACTTCATTATCACAATGGCAAAAGTGGCAAAGCCACAGCATCGGCCCCAGGCTGAGTCCAGAAGGAGGCAACTTAAAAAAAAATATATCCAACTTCACCTCATTATTTGATCCTTTTAAGAAACAGAAATGAGTTCTGGGTGACTGAGCCCAAATTTTTCTTTTACTGCTGCACCCCTGGCAGCACCTCCTCAAGCCTCCCTTGCAAAATGGATGAAACCAAGGGAGCTATTTAGGGTTCTGCCACACAGAATCCCACCTCCGGCATGATGGAAGGTCTTATGTAAAAACTGTAGAAGGAAAATTGTATTGAGTTTCTTCCAAATCACACCCTGACTGGAAACCTGTAGATGGCCTCTTGTACTTTATTTGTGCAGCTGAAAGTCATTAGCGGGGAATGGGGTGAAGGGGGGGGCTGACAATAAGCAACACAGGGCTACTTAGCAGAAGAATCTTGATAAAGGAAAATAGATATGATCAAGGATAGTAAGTCCGCCCTCTAAACCAAGGCCAACAGCATCCTTAATCCACTCTAATGTTCTGCAATAATGGGTTATTTATCCATGCTCAGGATTAACAGAGGAGCTTGCGGTCCTGTGGGACAATGTGGATGAGTGAAGAACACAGAGTATTTCTTATATGCAGCACTTTGAGGGAGAGATGGTGCTGCCTCTGATTATATTGCCTTCCTGGGGACAGAAAATGTAAACGTCTTATGAAAGGAAAGAAAAAAAGTGCATTTATTTCCTCTTAACATTTTTCTGCTGTTTGACCTGGAAACCACTGACAAAAAGATTGATGGCGCGGGATGAGATTTCCAGACCTTCATCAGAGTGAATTTGGGGCATATTGATATTCCCAGAGTATACTGAAGCTCAGGTGCACGAGGACTGAGACAGCCGTCTAGTCTTAGCTAGACCGAATGCCAAGGGCACCCTGGCATTGCATGCTACAGGGTTTTCTTCCCGGCATCTAATATGGCATCATTTGCAGGTTGAGAGCAGGGATGAAGATCATGGCATTGCAGGAAGAGTAAAGAGACTGGTGACTTGAATCCACATTGAACTATTATTAACTCCTTTCTGACCTTCTGAACCTCATTACTCGCTGAACCCCACTGAACCTCATCTCTGAGCGGGTAATAACAGCCTTAACCTTGTAGGGTTGTGGTGAGGCTCAAAAAGATAACTTGCCCATATTTCTGGTTATGGTGGATTCTCAAATGCTAGCTCCACTCAGCGCTCCCCGGGGAAGCACTTAGTTATAAGCAGGAGCTCTTGGACCTGATTTCTATTCGCTTTTCTCACTCAAAACTGCTGCAATTCTGTGAAATTGATTTGCCCACAGTTTTTATAGACTGGATCCTATTTGATTTGTACAACAATGGTAGGAAGGGTCATATATCTTTTCACCGATTAAAAATTTTTATTATGGAAAATTTTGAACATGTACAAAATAGTCGAGTAATTTAATAACCCTTTTAATTGTGCTACTCCAGAAGCCATCAACCCCATTGGCCAATTCTGTCCTCTGGGTTTAAAATCTCCATTTCAAGTGGTACATGCCCAGTGTCTGGAATAATGATTTATAAATGGTCACTTCAATGCATCAAGTTAAGTATATATGTAAAGGAATCAAATCATAAAATACAGAGGCTATTTCTCCCCAGCTTTTGTGTTTTGCAAGTGATTTTTGAACCTGATGTGATAAGACAATGGGGGGCATAGGCCAGGGGAGGGAGGGTGCACACTTAGTTCTCCAAGGCTAAATACTCTTATTAATAGCTATGTAATGTGAGTAAAGAATTCCTCTGGCTACTTCACCAGATGTTGCCAGAAACAACCAAGATGGTACACAAGAGAGGTGCAGGACATTTAGAAAGTCCTATCATTTAAAAACATTGTTAATAAAGCTAATAAAACAACAATAACATGCATTATAGATTATTTCAAGCATTTGTTGTATAGTCTTTTATAATCTCAGTGGATTCTGGATAAATATTACTCTTTTGGCCAGAAGTCAAAATATTACCTCGTATCCTTTCACGCTGTCCCCCAGAGCTTCAACAATCCCAGAGCACTCGAACCCTGGCACCAGGGGAGTCTTGGGAGGGTTGTCGATATTCCCTTGTCGCACCATCAAGTCCAGGAAGTTTAAACCACTGTGAACCACAAGCGTGAAAAGAGAGAAATTCAAAATGAGATGCCAAAATACTCACGGCTCGACTTTCCTCTCCCTCCAGACCCCTCCCCTCCCTTGCTCCTCCCCCATCCCTCGCTACTGTCTTTTCTTTCTGGAAAATGGGCCTAATCACTTAGCCAGATGCCATCCATAAAGCAGAACAATCATCTCTCTAGACAAGTAAAGCTTCCCTGGCAGGTCAAACAGCAGTTGCACAGTTTACACACACTCCAAAGACAGTACCTTTGTCCCCTCTCACTGCCTGCTACCTCTTAGTTTAAAAACACAAACTGACTAGCTTGGTCACTAGCCATTCCAGCACTTAAAAGAGGGTAAAAAATACACCAGGAAGATGTTATAAGGAGACACAGGAAAAACAGCCAGACATGATGGCCGTCGGCCAATCTATGAGAAAGCAAAAAAGAGAAAACAGACCTACTATAAAGTCTTAAAACAAGTGTCACGCCTCAACCATCACGCAGACTTATCCCAGCCCAGGGTGCCATAAACAGCACCCAGAGAGGTGACTCTGATCCAAGAGACCCCATTTTTTTCCAGCTGGGGGAGGGTGACTCGAAGAGGGCTCAAAGGGACGGACCCGTGGATATGGGAATACTGGAGGGCTGGTTTCAAAATTCTTAGTTATCTCTGGATAAGAGAAATCAGATATTTTCTAGTAACATATTACTTTTGAAATAGTTATCATTAAAATATACTAAATTCATCATCTTGGAAAACCATATGTTTGATTTTAATAATGCCATCAATGCTCCCAATGGCTCTTAACTTTTTTTAGAGCTACTCTTGGAAACTGCATGTCACATTATTCACTAGTCAAATGAGAAAACACATCCCACTGAGTGTGTATTTTTTCCACCAAGTGTAGTTTTAATGTACTTCCTGTTTTCATTAGCCACCGTTTAAAGAAAGACGCAGGTTCTAGAAACCAAACTCCTTGGTCTGGCCCAAGGTCCATGAGCCCCTGGCCACAGCCTCTTCTCCAAGCAAGATGGCCTGAGCTATTTCTCACGCACGGCATGCTCATTTCTCTCGTGCACTCTTTGGAGCCTGAATCATCTAATTCTGCCTACATCCTGGGGTCTGTGCTCAGCAGCCTTTTCCCCGGGGAGTGAATAATGACAAGGGCGATGACTTCCTTGAAAGGTGGGTGTAAGAGTCATCACCATCTCAAGGTTTTCTTGGCCACCTATCAGGCAAGTATCACACATTGTTCCAGTTGCCATATCTCCAACATGTGCCGTCCTTGGAGGCAGCCACATGCCTCATATTTCCTCGCTCCCAGAGTGCCTGGCATACATCAGGTCCACAGGAACAGAGTAGGTACAAAAGTAGCATCTCTTGAATAAAGGAATATTCATGAATACTTAAAAATATGTACTGCCAGATTGAGTACTAACTTCTTTTAAAAGGCAGCCAAGGGATGCTCAGAGTCATGGACATATTTCTGAAATGTATGTGTAGACTTACAAGGGTCCTACTTTGTTTTTAGGGTCACAAGGTTGTCTGGAAAATTAACGAGAGTTACACACTTATGCATGGTGCCAGGTACCTATGTGCGTACAACAAATGCTAGCCTTTACGTCAGCATCTTCTGTTAAGAAAGCAGGAGTGCGTGAGACATCATAGGAAGACCCATTACACAAAGGTTAAAAATAGTTTCAGACCTGAGATGGGAAAAGTTCAGCTATGTGTAAGCGTTGCTTCTGTGACACAGCCAGTTTTCCAACACAACCGAACAAATGGAGCATCACGGTGTAACAGGGAGAGGAATTTCCACGTTCCAAATCAAATGCTCCCTACCATTTCACGCGTATTTTAGCTCACTGTATTTGTCTTTGTGTGATAAACCTAGGATTTCCCAAGACCCCGATGGGGAAAGGCCAGGAGCAATGACTTGGCAGTTCTGTAAACGTGCCAGGCCCTGGAGAAGGCTGCATCCTGGGTACTCGTCACCCTCCAGCCAGCCTGGGGTGGGCCCAGTGACTCAACACCAGTGAGAAGGGCTAAGGCTGGCTTCACAGAAGCTGTAGCATCCCCCCTCCTCAGTGAGGCATGCAGCGATCCCGTCAGGATCCTGGGGAAAGCCGCCCATCTGCAGGAAGGAAACAGGGAGCAGGTATATCCCAGGGGACAGGGGATGGGTCAGTGCTGTTTGTCTCAGTTCCGAGAGGTGGTAAACAGCTGCTAATGGAGTAGCCTTATAATGTCCCTGCCCTGTGTCATGGCACTACCCGCGCACCTCATCCTGACATGGATGGACACAGCTGGCGTTTACTGAGGGTTCAGTTTGTGGCAGGAACTGTATTGAGTGTTTTGCTTTTATTATTTAAGACTCAATAATATTCCTATGAGGCCTGAACTATTACACCCATTTCTCAGATGAGGAAACTGAGACTCCGCAAAATTAAGTAACTTGCTTTTAAGGTCACAACTTGGTTGTCAAGGTAACTTGCTTGTCAAAGTTAGGATTCAAATTCAAACATGTCAAGAACCCAAGCGCTGACACAAGACATTCTGTGACCTCTTTATGGGGACTTTACCCGCCTTCTTTGGTAAAGGGTCATCCAAGGGCCATGTTTACAATTTACCTCTTTGACAGCTGACAGCACCAGCATGGAGCCCAGTACCGGAGGAGTGGCCATTCATAGTCTCAGCAGGGACCCACTCCTTACTATGAAATAATCGAGCTCATCCAAGAACTGGGTGTTCTTTCAAAATTACGAATTGGGAAACATGCAGCAAGAAAACGGCCTAGTATCAGAAAGGATGTCAAAATATATAATTGAGCTAGAGGGACCTACTGACCTTTGCTCTGAGAAGGCATTAAGTGAAAGAGGCAGTAGGTGAGAGAACTGAAAGAAAAGACATTCAGAGCGGTGGAGTTAACCCAACAGCCTGTACCGCGGTGGACTTTACAAACGTCATTGCCAAGTTACTGAGAATGGGAAGGTCCAGTCTCTGTACCCGGTGGGGCCAGGCCCCGGCACGCCTCCCGAGCTCTCATTTCCAAGAGCTCCTTTGTTATTTCACACACACCTTGATAAGAGAACCTCTTTCTTTAGGTTACATGTGTGGTCTCTGCCTCATGAAACCAAAAGATACAAAACCAAAACAAATACTAAACCAATAACCCTAAATCACCTACTGAACAGACATTATTGATCTCACGTTTTGTCTTTTTTTTTTCAGACAAAACCAATAATACTGTTTAAAGATACTAAGTTATTTGTCCAAGGCCACACACACAGTGAATGGTGAGGCCATGGACTTAAATTTGGAACTGCCTAGCACTTTTCTTTTTTCCATCACAACAGGAAAAAACAGGGGCTTATCAAGCTATACAACTTCTTAATTATAGTTTCCAGTATTCTGTAGGATAATTTGATGTTCATTTAGAAATTTTTGGGTGGTGGTAGTGACTATGCCTGATGACTCAGACCTACCGAGTGGGTGATCTTCAGACATTACCTAATATTTATGTGGATCGGTGCAAAAGAAAATAGTGCTGGAAAGTGCTTGACACCATGTTCTGCTAGGGAACTTAATTTTTCTCAATGATTGGTATGATTTCAGTAAATAAGGCTTTTGTTTTTCCTCTCATACTAAATTATTACTGAAAGCGTAGGTATAAAGGATATTTCCTGAGATACAACATCCTGAAGGAAGGAAGGCGGAGATTTGAGAAAGGGACCCTGAAAAGCTTGACAGATGAGGGATGTGATAGCAGATGCAGGGAAATGTGGGGACGATCTCTTTAAAAACTGGTGCTTTCTTACATTTGTACTACATAGTACAGTTTACACTTACTCAACCTTGTAATAATCCGGAAAGGCAAGAAGTACAGCTACTATTATTCCCATTCAATAGATGTGAATATTGAGACACCTTAAATAAGAAAACTGACTTGTCAAAGACAACATAATAAGTACATGGTGGAGCTGAGATTTGAATCAAGGTCTTCAAACTCCTTGCTTATTATACATCCCATGCACTATGAAATGTCAGATGCAAGGAAATCAAATGTTGCTAAAAATCAGTAATTTCAAGATTTGGGAGCAAGAAGGTTAAGAAAAAGTGGAGAAAGGAAACAGATGCAGGCCTCACGGGTTCCAGTTCCTGTACTGCCGTCGTTAGCAGCGGGACCCTGGCTGAGTCTCTGCAGCCCTCCCCTGCTCTCATACTCTGGCCACTACCTGGTGGTCCTTTATCCTGTGGCTCTGCTTAAAATAGTATCAAATCAAAGCTTAGGCAAAGAGGCAGAGATGCTTGATGGTCTTGGGGAAACACACTGACTCAGGATGCTTAGATCTTGTCTAGAAGCTAAAGGACTTCACCTTGGCCTCTATATTTTCTGTTATCTTGTTAAGTGATGGTTGTCAGCCTTGTAACGTCTCATGAGAAATGTTTGGCTGTCTTCATTTTATGTTCTCACCAGAGTCCACAAAAGTTGTTGCCGTGATGATGATGCTACATGCTAGGTATTAAAGTATGGGCCATTTTAGTCTCCATTTTGTGCAAAAAGAGGGCTAGACCTAGAGAAGATGAAATACCAGTCCAAGGCCATATAGTAGGTTCCTGCTCTGGGACACAAGCCCTTTTCACCTGACTTCCAGGCTTGAGTGTTTGACTGGTAGGGTGTCGTTCTGTTATCTATGAACTGTGGTAGGCTGCTGTGTCTTCTTGTCACTGAAACTCGGTGGTTTGGGAACCTGTTCGTTTCTTTTGCATATACTAAGTATATCAAAGAAGACACAAATGATTTCTTAAAGGACACCACTAAGAAGATGACAGAAAAACCAGCCCAGCTATAATTTACTGATTTTCTAATTTGAGACAAAATTGGCCCAAAGGAGTTTAGCAAAGCAGACACGCAGAGAAGGAGAATATCCCCCATCTGGTATTCTCCAGGTGAAAGGAGTGTAGGGGTCGCTCATAGGAAAGGAGTTTCGATCTCTTGCC